CAGGATAAACAGTGGCAACCCCTGTTTCCTTCTAGAAGGTCAGGTGCCCTTCGGTCTCCACCCGCAAGTCACGTTCTTTCCCCCCCACGCCGAACGACCCGCCATCGTGACTGGCCGAGTCTATTGCTTTTTCTTGGTCTCTTTCAACGTTGTCGATCGAGCGTCTCTCATTGGCATCACGAATAACCCAAGCAGAACCCGCGCTGCCCGCGCGTGCACATCTCCTGATCGGCCCTGGCCGAAGAGCCTCCGCCCGGAACTGACGCCTGCCGCGATTGATTCGACTCTCGACTTGTCGACATAAAAGGCTGAAGCCATGGGGTCCGATGGCTCCTCCTCAGCCTCCAGCCTCTACGACTCCCTATCTCATACCTCCCAATCGCTTAACCGCTCCGGCATTGCGGCCTTGAGGCAGCTCGTGGCCGCCCAACGCGCTTCCTACACATCCGTCTCAAACTACTTTTCCTCCATCTATCGCAATGACAAGCTAAATTGGAGCCAAATCGTGTTTCTTTCTACCTGTGTTGCTACTTGCGTTGCTACCATGGTAGGCTGTGGCCTCGTCTCTTCTTTTATTCGGCGCAAATGGTCTTGCAAAGGCCGTTCGTCGTCGTCGCAACGCTCGGCCCGGAACCTTTCCTCCACGAAATCAAACAAATCCACAAAGACCCTCACCTCGTCGGATGATGATTACGAAGATGATGACTACGATAGCAATGGGTCGCTGCGCCATGGCATGGATCCCAGCCAGGCTAAGGCGACAGAGTGGTCGGCAGAGCTTCAGCAGCAAAGTTCTGATGGTAAGAGAATTCAGAGCATACCCGCGTCGTCAAAAGAGAAAAAATTCTAACACAGTCGCAGCTGCCAAAACCGACCCTGGTCTGCTTAGGAAGTTCACCGAATTCGCCTCCTACACGACCTCTAAAGCATCCTACCCAGCGATTCGCACTTTCTACAGTCCCCACCCACAACTGAGTCGCCTTCCGACCAAACCCTCACCCGTCCCGCTTCTCGTTTTCGTTCATGGATTAGGTGGATCGCTTGCACAATTCCATCACCTCCTTACCAGTCTTTCTAATGTTGGATCTTGTTTTGGTATCGATTTACCAGGTTGTGGCTTGTCGAAGTTTGCGCCAACGGAATGGGACGCTTACACGGTGGAGGCCCTAGCTGAACTTCTGGTCGTGGCGATAGAGCGGCATCGAGATCGTGAAGCTGGACAAGAGGTCATTCTCATCGGACACAGCTTGGGTTGCTCTCTATCTGCCCTGCTTGCCTCTTCCAACTCGCCCATTGGCAAGAGCCTCAAAGATCATATCATCGGCCTTATCGCTGTGTGTCCTCGGGCAACGCCTCCTTCTGCGGAAGACGCCACTTCATTTCGTCGACTCCTTCATATCCCCACCGCAATTTTTGATTTGTGGCGTCGCTGGGACCGCCGTGGCGGCTCGCAAAGCGCCAGTGTGATGAGAATGGTGGGTAGCGATGCGGATGCGGAGACCCGAGACCTTCAAGTTCGCTTTAATAAACAAAGCCGCACTCCAGTTTGGCGTCGCGTGGCATGGGGAACTCTTCCTTCTTACGAGACTGGAGAGGCTGTTGGCGGTATGCCCGGCGAGAAAGTCTGGGCTGGTATTCGTATGCCAATCCTGCTAGTTGCAGGCGAGGCTGACGCGGTCACGAAGCCCGCTGAAATTCAAAAGCTTTTGAAATTCTTTGGCGATGCCTCGGCTCACACTAGCATCGATACTGCTGGAGGTAGCATTATCCCCGATGCATCGCAAATTCACGATCATATAACACTGCCGACCGATCAACGTGCTCACGATGAGGCATATGGCATCCAATCCAGTGAGACGGAAAAGACACTCGTGGACCAGACCTCTAGCGAACGGAAGCGAATAGTCAAGTCTGCCATCCTGCCAGCGCCAGCCTCTCATGCCCTACTCTACGACCGAGCTACCTACCGCACCCTCGCGGGAATCATTCAAGATTTCCTCTCGTCCCACATTGATAAGCGACTCGGCCTTGGCTGGCAACTCCAATACCTCAACACATCGGGGAAGTGGGATGTCAAGAACTTAGCCAAGTGGCAAAAGGTAGTTCCAGTCTCGAAGCCCATCGGCGGCACATTCGCCGCTCTGAAGATGCTTCGCGAGGTAGACGAGCAGCATAACCCGGTCTGTTTTTCCGCCCAGTACAAAGGCAAGATTTATGCGGTTATCGACATCAGCCACGAGAGCCCCGTATATAATCCTGCAACCTTGGAAGCAGGCGGCATTCGCTATTGCAAGCAACCAACTGTTTCCAAGATCCCTCCCACTCCTGACGAGACTCGCGACTTTATTGCTCTTGTTGATCGTCTTCAGGGAGATATCGACGAACAAGCGTCTGCGGACGAAAAAGAGCACTCGGTCCGACCGCTCGTCGGTGTGCACTGTCACTACGGGTACAACCGTACTGGCTTTTTGATCGTCTGCTACCTCATCGAGCGACTGGGTTATGGAGTTCAGGATGCGATTGATGAATTCAATCGGTGCAGGCCACCGGGCATTCGACATGGTCATTTCATTGATACGCTGTTCGTGAGGTATTGCGTGGGACTGAAGAGAGCGCCTACTTTGTAATATGAGAGGCATTTTACACTGTAATATTGTTATTTCCTTCTTTCATTGAGTTTCTGAGAGAATTCATTCAGACGGCGTTTTGGGTAGAGATGCAATGGAATGGGTTGGGATGGGATTTCATATTGTTACTTTCGGCCATGAGACATGATTTCTTTTCTTGCAGCGATAGATGCTTTATCATTATTATTTGGGAGTTGGACATTAGTTCATAATACAGTTCCCATTACACTCCTGGTATTTGACCTGGCTGCTGACTATGTAACTGGTACCTATCCTTGTCTTTCATATCCAAATCGGTATACCTAGTAGTAGGAAACACTAGTTCTTGTTACTTTCTGCCACTTAACTTCCCTGGATACCTAAGGGCTCGCCAGGGGGTTCCCTACACTCCTGTACCGAAGTAATACCTTGTACTAGAGCTAACTAGTTAGTAGTTGTGATAATTACTAGCCTTGATGCCTGAATATACTGTGGCCTTACCCGCAAGGCATCCCTCTGTCGACAGCCAATGTTGTGTCATGTGACCGCTTAGGGTACGGCTAGCCGGAAAAGGCTAAGCGAACCCACGGCACACAGACCCCAGCCAAACGGGACGAGTTTGTGTGTCTCGAAATTTTGGACTCTTCGACTTCGACTCTGCCCACGACTTCCGCCATCTCTCATCCCTAACGCCCTCTTCGACCCCTCGACAAGTCGCCAATATGGGTGGTGTTTCCGTTCGCGATGTGGACGTAAGTGTCCTTCGATTTCTCCGCCCGCTGAGAGGGCCCTGATGATCATCATCAACCCTCAGTCTCACGGGATCTGGGTCGGTGTGCGTTGTGTTATGTGGACGGGTTCTGTGTTCTCGGAGGCATTGGAAGGGAATATACTGGGCTTCGCAGCTATTGGATTCGCTGGATTTGGTCAGGAAGATACTGCTGTCTGGGAACTACATTGAAAGGTTTTGTCCGCACAAATCGATCTGTTATGATCAATTTATGTGATATGCCTTTCAACCACCCAACGGAAAAATCTTCGTTTCTGAAAGCACGAATATGCACGCACGACAAGAAAGAGATGGAACTGCCTGACAACGAGAACGAGAACCCGACATCTTCAAAAACCTACGCACGCTGATCCTCATCCTCACCCGTCATCAACACGTTTTGATACCCTCGAAAGAATCACAACGCTAACAATATTCTTCTCACCTACAGGCGCAGAAGTTCATTGCTGCCTACTCTGCTTTCCTGAAGCGTCAGGGAAAGCTCCCCATCCCTGGCTGGGTTGACACTGTCAAGACCTCCGCCTCCAACGAGCTTCCTCCCCAGGACCCCGACTGGTACGACCAACCAACACCACCATCTCCAGCCCGCTATCGAAATTCAGAACTGACAAATTTCTAAAGGTACTACGTCCGCGCCGCTGCCGTCGCCCGTCACATCTACATGCGCAAGACCGTCGGTGTTGGCCGCCTCCGCAAGGTCCACGGCTCTACCAAGAACCGTGGTGCCCGCCCCGCTCACCACGTCGATGCCTCCGGCTCCGTTGACCGTAAGGTCATGCAGTCCCTCGAGAAGATCGGTGTCCTCGAGACCGATGAGGACAAGGGTGGCCGCCGCATCACCCAGTCTGGCCAGCGTGATCTGGACCGTATCGCCAAGACCACCGTCGATGAGGATGAGGAGTCGGATGACGAGTAAACGTTTCGCAAGGGCTTAATTGTTTCGGGGGGTCGTTTTGACCGGTGCCTCTAGTTTATACCCAAAACAAAACATCAAAAAATTGGTGACAACTAGTCGCAGGTGGGAAATGAAATGATTCATCACATTTAAAAAATTCGGAGCCAGGTCCCGGTGATTCCTTTATTAACGTTTGTTCTACATTTTTTTCCTCTCAACTGTTATCATCAACTCCCATGACGACCAGACGGGGCTTAGCGCAGAGAGAAGATGCGGGAAAGTACGTTTTTTGCATGAGGAGGTTTCCATTGCGAAAGCAAGAGCGAGAGAGAGAGGACGAGGCAGGGTTTCTTTTTCCTTTCATACCATGTTGATCTCCCTCGCCTCTTTGACCCGACCAACCCACGGCGTCTTTGTTCTCGTTTTCTCTCGCGGTCTCCTGGAAATAAAGAGCATGTCTGACTAAACACTTTAAATTGTTCTATTTTCCTGGCCAGCTGTAGCTTGTAGTGGCCCTAGGAATGCCAGAGTAGTGAGCTCATGGTTGTGATGTAAAGACAACCATCCTCTACGTTCTGGTAGTATGTTGTACTGCCCTCATGAGCAACTTGAATTCTTGTAGACACATTTTCCTCGGCACATTTACTGCCCAGGAAGCCTGTAGTTGGTATGGAACTATTCATCTTGAATCTATATGCAATCACATAACTTATTTCTTCCCAGACTGGGCGGAAGGGTCCTACAACAAGTCAGTATACCTCAACACAACCAATCCATAGCAATGAACACACCAAGTAAACCTGATAAAACTGCATCTTCACACCCTCACCATCCTTCTCAGGAGCAAATACCGCCCGTCCAGCCCAGGGTACGTACACATCTTTCTCGGTATCAGCCTTGAGTCTGTAGTTCACACCACCGTAAAGCATGATCTCGTTCTCGCCGCCGAAAAAGATGCGCGACGGCGTGTGTTTTCGAGATGCGACGTGTGCCCAGAGACCATGGCGAAGGGGTAGGATTTCTGAACAATATTAGCATCTTCTCGACATATTCCGAGTCCTTTCTAGGAGCTACGGGGAATCTCTGATATAGACACGAATTCATCCGAGTCGCATAGCCCGTCGTATATCCGACAGAGATATATAAAAGAAAAGAACTCAAACATACCACTCGCACCCTTCGCTTCCTTCGGGCCCATGATCAGCGTGGCATCTTCCGTGAAGCTCTGAACATATTTCTCGTGCAGGGACTCGGTATCACTGGTGCGGTAGAAGTCCTCCATAAATGCGACGAGGGCTGCACCCCGCGGGGGTGCGCGGGCCGTGTCGTAGGCAATGTTGTATGACATTATTGTTTTTGATGGGAAAATTCAGATAGATGGTGATTGAGAGTGAGGGGATGGTTTGGATGGATGGTATATGGAGGTTGGAAATGGGATATATGTTGCTGTTGTCCTTCAAGTTCACGTCCATTTCATCATGAGGGGCCGTCGGTCCGACGCGGTAGTGCCGCATCCGATCTTATCGTGCTGCATACTTTTGCCCACGCCCCCGTATGCATTGGTTGGGGAATGGTACTGCAGGTTTTTGTTAATAGAGTTGTTTCATTGCACGCTTTGGATTATATTTTCCGAGTCTCCGAACCGTTGGTAGTGGTACTCAAAATCCGCTTGCTGAAGTTGAACTTGTTCAATCGGTATATGAGAGCATACAGTCTGTGGTACCCTTCTACTGCTTCTCTTCCGACGGTGGCACAGCCGATTACCCACTGGTATGTCCGGGCTTTAGCACTCGGATGCTTATTTCGGAGTACAAGTGGGCTATGCTCATCAGATGACGTCTTTAGAAACTTAATCATAATATGCAACTTGAATCTATGTACAATGCACTACCCGGTCATTGCTGATGTTCTCTTCCTAATGGAAATGCAACAAGGCTTAGCACTTCTTCACATCTCCCTCTCCCTCTCCATTAACCTTAAAGTCCTCCCAGTTGGCCTTATCAGAACCATTGGGTCGACTTGCCCGAACAAACTGATTATCCACACCCTCCACGACAGCAATTGGTTTCACAACCTCGACATCCGAATTATACGCTCGCGAAAACCACTTCTCAGTCAAAGCCGGCCGCCCCGCTTCCGCCTCAGTGCCAGCTGGGGTATAAAGGTGCGGGAAACGCGTCTGCATGCCCTTGAGAACAGTAGATGAGATGCGATCTACACTGTCGCAGTGGCGTAGCTTGAAGAAATCATCTGGCTGGGCTGCGCGCAGCTCCTCCTGTACTTCGGCAGGGTACTGGCCCACCGCGAAAAGGAGAAGATCGTAATGCATCAGCGAGGCCTTGCCGTGGTAAGAACCACCAGTCTTGGCACGGTGGTAAAGACCGGATAGCGCGGCGATGGCGCCCATGCAGCCTGTGCCGTAATCGGAAATGGGGAAGGGTGGGACGACGGGGTGATTCAGGCCCATGAATTGTCCTTGTGCCCACGCGATACCGGTGACCTTCAAGAAAAGTTAGCGGTGAGTGACTAATTGTTCGCGATTGTGTTCAGTCAACATACACAGTCGGCGATTTGCTGCCATCCAGCGCGTCCGGCCCATTCGCCCTCATATCCGAAGCAGTTCTCATTCACGTAAACAATACCCTTTCCACGCTTCTCGGCCAGCGCGGCCATAGCTTGTGGTCCGTATCCCAGTTTCTCCAGCGCACCGGGACGATATCCATCGACGATGACGTCCACGTCGTCGAGAAGTTTCTCGAATTCCTTGCGCCCGGCTTCGGTCTTCAAGTCCAGGTCTGCAGCATGCTTGCCCATGTTCCCGTCAACCTGGAAGAATGGCACATCAGACAGGCTCGGGCTGGTCACTTTCAGGACGTCTGCACCGTACTCGGCTAGAATTCGGGTGACTGTTGGGCCGGCGATGATACGGCACATCTCCAGAACCTTGACGCCCTCCAAGATCTTGGTGCTGCCAGCACGGCGGGCAGGGAATGGAGTCGGGGCGATGTTCCCCGGAAGCTGAGCGACTTTCCATGCGGGCTCTTCGACGTTGAGCTTGCCCTTTTGTTCTGTTAGTATGTACCACCAATAAGCGTGATAGATTTGAACGACGTACGTGTGGGGTCTTGATAAAGTCCTCGTGCTTCAGAGCAGGGACACCAGCCTGTCGCCTTTCCTTGTTCATCTCCTCCAGTTCGGCCACGGAGTATTTCTGGACATGGCTCTCGATCTCCTTGATAACATCTTCGTAATCGGTCAAGTCAGGTCGATGACCCTCGAGTCCGATCATGTTTAATGTTGTACTAGCTTCCAATGAACCGTGAATGTGGTAGAACTCGCCCGGGTTCTTAGTCTTGTACAGGTTAGCCGACATACGACGGTAACCATTTGATTGCGCAGCCAGTAGATCCGTATCTGCAATTCATTAGCCAATATCCTACTTCTCAGATCCTCAAGATCCACACATACCCTTGAGCTTAGATTTCACATTTGGATCCAACTTCGACAATCCATCCACCTTGGCCATGTACGCTTGGCATCCGAATGCCGTAGCACCTTCCAGGCTGACCCGGACACCACGAGGTTGTGCGCCGCCTCCAAATCGCAGATCGGCTAGGGCAGCAGCCACCGAGCCCTCGATACCCTTCAATGCCGCCAGGGTCTCGGTCTCCTTAAACGGGATAGGGAAGTAGATCTCATTGTGGCTGGTGGAAAAAGAAACCCGATCCTTGTTGGCCAGAACCTCTGATGGTAGACTCAGGCGCTCCGACTGCTCGCACAAGTTGGAGAAAATCTGGCTAGTCTCGAGAACGGGCGAGTATGCGGCACCGTTAGAATGGCCGTTGCTTGCCATCTTTGATATGGTTTCGTTTCTGATGTCGATGATATAATTTGATAGCCCAGCCGAGTGTTCTCAGATACCCTGGCTTCTCTTGTCAATTCTAACCCGCGACTTTGCGAATGGTTCAAATTTCGTCTCGAATTGAAGGCGCCTGCGTTGAGCACGATTAAGGTTGCGTGGAAAGTTTGAATAGATCGGCAGTGGCGAACCCGGGAAATAGGATGAACGATCAAAATCTCGTCCAAGCCCGGGGACGGGCGTGAGGACGACCTACCAGACTATATATGACGGCAATCATCGGGATCTCTCCGTCGGGTGGTAACCGCTCATCAGCCGACGGGACAATATTTTTAAGGCGGATGAGGGAATGCTTGAAGGCTGGGACCCCGCAATTGCAGATCCGAAAAGAAGCGATCCGGTTCGGCACTGGCAGTTTCCAGGGTTGAGCCGTTGGAGATTTCGGAAGCGATAAGATCGGATGTGCCATCACGTGGACTACAGTAGTATAATGATACTAGTATGGTTGAATGCTATGGTTAAATGGCCGAGGTTATTAGTTGCATAATAATACTTTCTTTTCTTTTCTTTTCAAAATAAACTGGCTTTGGTGTTAGGTTGTGGTGTGGAACCCCTAAGTATTCACACTAACATGCTAGGTAGACTCATAGTATGTCAGAGGTAACTGCAGAGCCTCACATTGCTCTCTTTCATCCAGATCCACCATTTTAGAAGGCCACTGTAGACGATGTAGCCGATAACCTCCATGTCCAAATGGCATCCATTCCCCCGCCAACTCAATCTGTCGAGTAGTATTGACATACCCTCTCGCCTCAAGAAATCCCAAATCCGGAGTCGGCCGACCGGTCCGAGCAAAGCTTGTCCACAGATCCAGTACATACTGTTCAAATGGAAGATCGAATTGATCACGCAGGGGGCGACCCTGCCTCAAAAGGTTGCCAAAGACATAGTACAGCTCTCCCGAATGACATTTGAAGTATTCCTGATTTGGGTCGCCGTGAGGGTACTCGGATGTGATGGGTGCCTCGCATACTGGCGCGTTGGGGGACCAATCTGGCATTTGGTATGATCGATTGAATTCATAGAAAAATATTTCTGGAAAAATTCCATTGTTGAACCCGCTATATCCAGTTGCTTGGTCGATGCAGCGGAATATGCCATCCGTGGCGATGTGGGCCGTCGTGTTGAAAATGTCGAGCGTTTTGTTCGAAGTGGAAGGGATTGGAAATAGTTTTGAGTCACTGAGAACAGTTGATGGAATGCCTTCACTACTCAAGAATGTCTGAATAGTCTCATTCGCCGTGGGGTACCCAATCATCGCGGCTCCGTCATCTCTCATCGTTCCGATCATGAGAGGAACATTTGCCGTTGCCTCGGGGTGTGTCAGATCCAATTGCGAAGTCTCAAGATATTTGCCATCCACAACGAGATATCTTGCTACCGCATCAAGACCTGTAATGGTAGCTGCAGGAAGAGCTCTTAGACATTCAACCGGTGAATCAACATTCGTACAGTTCGTCAGGGTCAATATGTCCTTCCCCACAACATCCATCTCCTCCGCAATTGTATAATACTTAGAATAAGTCGTCCCATACCCCAGACCGCCAAGATTACTTTGCATAATCGCACCGGCAAATTTACCCCGAGCTCGAGGAGATGCGAGTAAAGCCCTTACAGACCCAGCCCCGGCCGACTGACCAAATATAGTGATTCGGTCAGGATCGCCTCCGAAATCTCGAATATTCTTGCGAACCCACTCTAGAGCGGTAATTTGATCTGCAAGTCCATAGTTACCGTTTGTTTCTCCGTCATCCAGAGCCAGAAATCCAAGTGTGCCCAGTCGGTAGTTGATAGTCACCACCACGACATCACCTCTTGATGCGAGGTTACTTCCATCAATTAGGGTATCGCTGCCTGATCCACTTGTGAAAGCACCACCATGTATCCAGAACGTGACTGGTTTGAGTTTCTTCTTCGGAGAGTGTTCAGAGCGGGGCAGATACGGTGTCCAGACGTTGAGGAAGAAGCAGTCTTCCGATTCTAGACACGTAGAGCCGTAGTCCAAAGCGGAGACCAGGGTATTTGACCCCTTGTGTAGTTGCGAATACTTCCATCTTTTCGTGGGATCTGCATAACGAATACCGAGGAAGCGGAAACTCAAGTGATCGCGGAATCTATGTCTGTTAGCGCCCTTCTGGGGCGCTTGATAGAAGAAGATTCACGTACCCAGTGATGTACTCGTTATTCGAGCGAACGGCAATCTGCCACGACGGATTGCTATCTTGAAAGGTAGGTGTAGAGTAGGGGGCAGTCTGGGTGCAGAGGACTGGCAAGTTCTCGTTGGAAGAAGCTTTCTTCACTTTTCCGTTGACGTCTATTGTTGACGGTATGCCGTGTGTGGAGGCAATCCAGTATCGCTGGCTCTTCTTTTTATCTTTCTGATAGACTAGATACTTTAGATCATTTTCGATCTCAGAGAAGCCTGCCTC